CAGCGAGAGAGGGCACAGAAGCAGGGGGAGTGGGAGAGGGAGAAGCAGGCTTCCCGCTGAGCAGGGAGTCCAATGCGGGGCTTGATCCCAGGACCCTGGGATCATGACCTGAGCCGAAGGCAGCCGCTTAACAACTAAGCCACCCAGGCACCCCAGTGTGACTTTTTTTTTTTAAGATTCATTTATTAGAGAGCGTGCGTGAGCTGGGGGAGGGGCAGGAGGAGAGGGAGAGAGAACCCCAAGCAGACTGTGCACTGAGCATAGAGCCTGTCATGGGGCTTGATCCCATGGCCCATATGATCATGACCTGAGCTGAAACCAAGAGTCAGATGCTTAACCAACTGAGCCACCTAGGGGCCCCATATATGTGGCATATTACCATAGTACTTCTTTTTTAAAGCAATATTAGACACCTGTAATATGCTCAACCAGCAGGACATGTGAAATATTTACCAAATATGTATTTATTCACTAGCAAATATGTTTTGATTACTTACCATGGTAAGCCACTGTACTAGGCATTAGGGACACAGTAGTAAATAAATGTGCTCTTAGAGTACTTAGAATTCAGTGGGGGGAGATAAAAATAAATTAATAAAAACTAAAAGGAAAAATTACAAATTGTGGCATATGTTTTTTTTTTTAAGATTTTATTTATTTATTTGAGAGAGTGAGTGAGAGAGCACGAGTGGGGAGAGGAGCAGAGGGAGAGGGAGAAGCAGGCCCCTTGCTGAGTGGGGGAGCCCAGCCTGGACACAAGGCTCCATCCTAGGACTCTGGGATCATGACCTGAGCCAAAGGCAGCCACTTAACAACTGAGCCACGCAGGCGCCCTGTGGCATATGTTATTAAGGAACAAATAGAATATTGTTAATACAGACTCATCCAAATTGTAAAATCTGTTCCATTTTCTTGCTTTGGTATTTCATATTTATATGCTTATATACTTTTCATACTCCATAGTAACTTTGAAAAGACCTGATGGATTTGACCAAATTGTGTGTATACACTTATTTATTCAACAACAGTAAAAAATTTACAGGATGCTTATGTGTCAGGCACTGTTCTAGGCCCAAGAGAAAGAGTGAACAAAACAAAGTCATTGTGTTCATGGTGATTTTACCCTAGTGAGAAGTCAGTAAACAAATATATGATAAACGTCAGGAAGTGATAAATGATGGGAAGAAAAGTCAAGTAGACCAAGAGGTTACAATGTGACCAGAATACAATTCTTTGCACGGACTGAGGGGTCTCTGAGGAGATAAACGTTTTCCCACAATTTTCCTTCTTTTGTCTCTTGGGTCAGTTCAGTTAATGAATGCAAGATTCAAGACAATTTTTGTATCTTTTGGTATTGTTCATATAATCATTAAAACAGCTATGATGAGGTCCTACTTCTTTCCAATTCCTTACCACTAAAAGAGATGAATACCTGAATTATGTTCTTCATTCCTTCATTGCTCTTCCATACACTTAATTGCTTAAGCATCTCCACCCACCCATCCATCCTTTTACCTTTTACCCAAAAAGACATGCCTTGTATCTGTTCCAATTTTCCAAAATCTTGAGATATGATTCATTTAATTAAAAATTATATTGTACAATTAAATGTCTTCCAGATGTTAGGTTATAATGTGCGATTGCTTCTGGAGAGAGCTCTTTTAGCCAAGCCTCTCTCCTAGTAAACTCTCAGCCATTGAAATTTGATGTTTTGGATGATCTTACAGTGATCCCAGCCTTAATGCCCAAAAGCCGTAAATAAAATTGTACACTGTTCAAGTGTTCTATAGCATTGCACAAGTCTAAAATAGGTAACTGGCACCCGCCCCATACCTCATTGTTGGCTAACTGACTTGTCCCATAAATAGCTCAGTGTTACACGATCGGACAACTACAACTAACAGAAGGGATTTTTGCTTCCCAACACACATGTGTAGTCTTTGGTAGTCCACAAAATCAAGACATGATTCACTGGACCCTAATCGTAACATAGTTAAGAGACTGGTGCAAATCAGTAGCCAAATCATTTTGGATGGTTTTCAAGTTAGCCCTGCCTTCCACCAAATTCTACATTATGGATCCTAGTGTTAGAATAAGATTCAGTTTTTGTACCCTCTGTGTACATGAAAGTAATGTTGCTGCCACAATCAGGTTGATCCCAGAGAGTTTCTGCCGACTGAATTAAAAATTCTCAGGTAAATTTGAGAAGGCATCATGGTAGTTTTAGAAAACTTTTTCTAGAATCAAGAGCATGTTTTAAAAACCTACCTACTATTGGAATATAATGGTTCTTGTTTCTAACTCTTAGCTGGAATGTATTGTTTTTATGTCGGAGAGTTTTTTTTTTTTTTAAGATTTTATTTGTGAGAGAGAGCACAAGCAGGGGGAGTGGCAGGCAGAGGGAGAAGCAGGTTCCCTGCTGAGCAAGGAGCCCGATGTGGGACTTGATCCCAAGACATTGGGATCATGACCTGAGCCTAAGGCAGACATTTCACTGACTGAGCCACCCAGGCATCCCAAGATCTTATATATTTGAGAGAGACAGAGAGAGCAAGAGAGAGCGAGCAAGAGAAAGCACAAACGGGGAGGGGCAGAGGGAGAAGCAGACTCCCCGCTGATCAGGGAGCCTGACACCGGGCTCTATCCCAGGACCCTGGGATCATGATCTGAGCTAAAGGGAGATGCTTAACCGACTGAGCCACCCAAGGGTCCCTGTCAGAGAGATTTTTAAATACTGTAATTTAACAGAAGATTGCTTCATAAATTCCTTAGCAGTAACTCAGAAGGTGAAAGTTGGGGCATTTTTCCAGATAAATCTATGCCCTTCATGTGTAAAGCATTGCAGCTTAGGTAACTGGCAATAATACATAGGGTTCAATTCATGTTTTAAATATTTTCACTTTTCTTTTACTGGGTCTTTTTCAAAATGGCAGCACGTTTGTTCCATTTCTACTCAAAATACCAAATCTAGGGCACCTGGGTGGCTCAGATGGTTAAGCATCCGCCTTTGGCTCAGGTCATGATCCCGGGGTCCTGGGATCGAGTCCCACATCGGGCTCCCTGCTCGTTGGGAGCCTGCTTCTCCCTCTGCTTCTCTCTCTCTCTCTCTCTCTCTCCCCCTCTTTCTCTCATGAATAAATAAATAAAATCTTTAAAAAAAAATACCAAATCTAAAACAAGTGCTTTTTAAAAAAGATTTTATTTATTTGAGAGAGAAAGAGCACAAGCAGGGGGAGCGGCAGGCAGAGGAAGAAGCAGGGAGCCCAATGTGGGGCTCGATCCCAGGACCCTGGGATCATGACCTTAGCCACCCAGGCACCCTAAAGCAAGTGATTTTTTAAAAATTCCTGTGCTAATTATCTTACTGTTAAAATACTGCTTATTGTTACTTCAAGTTTGGAACAAAAGTAAATGTGTCTGTGGTATCAGAGTTATAGGCAGTTCTTCCCCTAATGCTGGCTTTGTACTTTTACTCGTAGGATTTCAGTATGTCTTACAGTCGGCGCTTCATAGACCAAGTTATACACCTTTCTGTGGCCACACCGAATGTGTACATTTTGAAACATTTTAAAGCTAAAATTCAGTTCCAGAATACTGATCTTTATTCTACCAAGAAGGGCTTAAAAGCATTAAAAGCATTTATCTCTAGGGTTTTTTTTTATTTTTTATTTTTATTTTTTTTTATCTCTAGGTTTTTAAATTGTGAATAGTTATTCTAGTGGATTTAAAGGGGGATGGAAAAAAAACCCCACCCAAATCACTGATCGTTTGTTTAACAGATTGAAACCATGGCTGTGTGGATACAAGCCCAGCAACTCCAAGGTGATGCTCTTCATCAGATGCAAGCATTGTATGGTCAGCATTTCCCCATTGAGGTGCGACATTATTTATCCCAGTGGATCGAAAGCCAAGCTTGGTAAGTGAACACAGTTTTTTCTATCATATTTAGTGAAGCACAAGCATATTGAAATTTGATTGGAAAGATAACGATGGAGGCTTTAAAAATTGTACATTTTTAAAAAATTATTTTTTAAAAGATTTTATCTTATTTTTTATTTATTTGACAGATAGTGAGAGAGGGAACACGAGTAGGGGGAGTGGGAGAGAGAGAAGCAGGCTTCCCACTGAGCAGGGAGCCTGATGCGGGGCTCGATCCCAGGACCCTGGGACCATGACCAGAGCCAAAGGCAGACGCTTAACGACTGAGCCACCCAGCCTCCCTAAAGTTGTACATTTTTGAAAAATGATGTGACCCAGGTTAAAAGTTATTTAACCCTAGCTTAGATTTTAGGGAGATGGAATAATTCTTGGGATTTTTAAAATAGGATTTTTTCCTATTTTATTTTATTTTTTCCTATTTCCCTTTAATAGTAAATTCTGGCTAAAAGCATTAGATCATTGCTGCTAATAAACAACAGTTGAAAAATATGTTTTGAGTGCCTACAGGGTGTAGAATTTATATGAACAGAGTAAAGCCCTTGTTTGTCCACAAAGAATTTAGTGCTTGGTGGGGCAGCTAAGGTATGCATATGCATATCATTTAATAAAATGTATTATTAACAAAGTTAACAATGGAGACATTGGTGTTTTTAAATTTATACATACACATAAAGACCAAAAGACAATACACCAAAATATTAACAATAATTATGTTCTTGGTGGCAGATTTAACACGCGTGTCTTTACTTTTATTTTCCAAATTACTGTTTGGAAATATACTCAGAGGGAAAATTATTTTTAAATTCTTTCAGAGTTAGTATAATGCAGTAGATTGACAACAGAGCTTTTGAATGGACATTACTGTGCACCAGGCTCGGGGCCTGCTCTGCTCAGGGCCTGGGAGCATGTTGGGTGGCCAGCAGCCCGTCCTTCTGATCTGACAGGCTCATCAGCTGCTTCAGGCCTCTGCGGGGCTGGCGGGGCACACAGGGCAGGATCCACCCTAGCAGAGCCCAGGACCGGCGGCTGCTCTGCGACCGTCCGAGCAGGCCTGTGTACCTGTCAGTAAGGCCACCTTGCGGTAGTTGCAGTTGTGTGTTAGTAGCAGATTTCTGGTCGGAAGCTAGAGAGCACCAAAGGAAGGCAATTTTCTGGGCAATTAAAAAAAAAATCTCAGCCTCGTGTAATGAAGTGAGGGAAAAAAACCAAGCTAAACATAAGCACATCAGCTGCACCTTGCTTATTAGCACTTTTCCATTTCTTTTTCATTTTATTTTCTGTTTTAATGATTTGGAGAGTTCAGAAAAACATCAGTAGGAAATTTTTGGTGATTTAATTTTTCATTTAGTAGATTCCCCATGTAGTTTCTTACCAAATGAATGTTAAAGGACTTGTGTTGATATCAAGGAAAACCTGAATTTTATTTAGCTTGGTTTTCTTAAGAACATAAAGATTTTAATTTAAAAAGATGTTCAGTTCTTCATGTTTAAGCTAAGAAAGCCTTTTTTTTTCCTTTTTAAGTAGAGAATTAAGTTTTCAAGTGCCAGAACCAGTACTTGATTTCTGTGAGTTTTGCACAGAGACTGGATCTTCTCAAGAGTGGGTTCCTCAGATGAGGAGCATTAAATGCCAGTGGAAACAGAGGTGCAGGGCTGCCCTTCATTCCTCCCATGCTTTTATTTAATACATACTTTATTTAGTACAGAGAGGATACATATTTAAAATTTGGCTTTCTCTACTACCTTCTCAAGAGTACAGATGTGGGCATATTATTTGCTGAACTACATTATCATCAGCGTTTTGGCACGCCTGCTTGTGCCTTTTTTTGAAATTAGTTACTAACTGACTTCAGGGGTATAGAGGTGCAGCCTTTTAGCTACCACTAGATCTCTTGTTTGGCTCCAGACCCGGTCAGCAGTAATTGAATGTTATTTCAGTCTGACAGCTGTTTGGTTTCTTCAGTGAGCTGAGTTAAGCAATTTAATACTGCCCAATAGCAATTGTTGCCTAAATTGTTTGAAAAAAGAGAGTTGGCGAGTGGAGTGGGGAAGGAAGGAAGAAATAAAGAAGAGAAGGAAAAGAGGGAGGGAAACTATCCAACCCTCTGTCACCAGTGCAGTGGCTCTGAATTAATATGAAGTCCGTAGAGGGGTTTCTCTGCATCACTGGAAGAGTTAGCCTACAGGTCCCAGATCTGCAACCAGTAATTTGTATAAATACTTGCAGGCACCTTCTGTCTTAATATCTCATTTCCAGGGTTCCTTAGAAATAGCAGTAAGTGGTGTTCCACCTGTCTTCACTTAAGAAATACTCTGTGAGGGGCGCCTGGATGGCTCAGATGGTTGAGCGTCTGTCTCCGGCTCGGGTCATGATCTCAAGGTCCTGGGATCAGCCGCATCCCCCGCTCCCGGCTCCACAGGGAGTCTCCTTCTCCCTCTCCCCCTGCGTGTGCTCACTCTGTCTCTCTCGCTCTCTCTCAAATGAACGAATAAAATCTTTAAAAAAGAAAAAAGAAATACTCTGAAATTCGCAACACACAGAACTAGTCAAGGCTGGAAAAAACATGTAGAACATTCTTGACCTTGTGCCCCCTTTCACCCTTGAGGAGTGACTATAAATAGGAAGTTATCAGAGCCCTTGTTTCCTTCAGAGCACGAAGCACTTTCCTTTTCCCTTCATTTCTAGAAGCAGATAGCATAAGCACCCGAGCAAGTCAGTAGAAGGAAGGAGAAACGGCAGTATATTGTAAAAAAAAGAAATATACAGTCCACTAAGCTAATTAGTGGATTAAGGATAGATTAATGTAGGCATCTAGTCAATCTGAATTGGACGGTTTCCTAAAGTTTGCAGTGAGCATTATGAAGAAATCACTTCAGCTAAAGAAAAGGTATGAATGGTTGAAGCTGCATTTATACAGGCTCATGTGCATGTATGTATACATATGTATGTAATTTTTTTCCCCTAGGGACTCAATAGATCTTGATAATCCACAGGAGAACATTAAGGCCACCCAGCTCCTGGAGGGCCTGGTGCAGGAGCTGCAGAAGAAGGCGGAGCACCAAGTCGGGGAAGATGGGTTCTTACTGAAGATCAAGCTGGGGCACTATGCCACGCAGCTCCAGGTGGGTGTGAATGGTCCAGGTCACACTTAATTCTCTTCCCTAGGAGAGACTCTTCATTTAGTACTTCTCTGGAGCTTTTCTTTCTCTGCTTCAACCCAGTGTTGTTGACTTAACCTGTTAGGTGTAAAAAGTTCCTATTGTCTGCCTTTGTGATTGTAGCCTTTTATTTTTAAACTTTTTTTTTTTTTTAACAATTTCAAGTTTGTAGGAAGTTGCAGGATTGATGCAAAGAACCTCTACATATGCCCAGATCCACCCATTGTTAATATTTGCTTTATCATATTCTGTCGCTATACACACACGTTTTTGTCACTTGAGAGTAAGTTGCATACATCATGTCCCTTTGCCCCTAAGTACTTCAGTGTGCATTTTCTCTACATGGTTATAGCAGTTTTCAACTTCAGTACATGTCACATGGACAAACACTCTTAGGTAATCATATCTGTATTTCCATTTGTCAGCTCACTCAATAATATCCTTTATGTCATTTTTTTTTCCTTCAGCCCAGGACCGCATATTGCATCTGGTTGTCATGTCTCTTTAATCACCTTTAATCTGGAACTGTTTCAACCTTTGTCTTTCATTACATTGGCTTTTTTTTTTAAGATTTTATTTATTTATTATTATTAATTTTTTTAAGATTTTATTTATTTATTTGACAGAGAGAGAGACAGCGAGAGAGGGAACACAAGCAAGGGGAGTGGGAGAGGGAGAAGCAGGCTTCCAGCAGAGCAGGGAGCCCAATGCGGGGCTCGATCCCAGGACCTTGGGATCATGACCTGAGCCAAAGGCAGACGCTCAACGACTGAGCCACCCAGGCGCCCCTAAGATTTTATTTTTAAGTAAGCTCTACACCCAGTGTGGGGCTTGAACTCAACCTGAGATCAAGAGTTGCATGCTCCACCAACTAAGTCAGCCAGGTGCCCCTGCATTGAAATTTTAAAATAATTCAGCTCATCTATTTTTAAAGATAAAATGGGTTTGTGTGATGTCTCCTCCTCATTAGATTCAGGTTACACATCCCTGATCAGAATTTTGAGTAAGTGATGTTGTATCCTTCTCAGGATGTCACATCTGGAGACATACACCATCCATGTTCCCTGCATTGGTGGTAGTAATTTTGATTACTCAGTCAAGGTGGTGTCCAATTTCTCGTGATGTGGTCCTTTTGAAATTTATGTATCCTTTTTCCAGGAATGATGCCTTAGTACTTTAGGCATGTTAAGAGGCAAGAAATAAAATAATCTTACCTTCTCATTGTAATTGGGTTTCCTATGACATACTTTTCTTGCCCCCACTAGTATTAGAGCAGCAGCATTGCATGGGATTATGCCATCATGTCTCCAAGAGTCTCCTCCATCATAAAATCTTACCCCTGCTCTGAGGTAGGGTTAGGCCCTATAACATGGTGTGGGACAATGTGATGTCTGCTATTGGATTCTTTCAGAACACGTACGACCGCTGTCCCATGGAGCTGGTCCGCTGCATCCGACATATTCTGTACAACGAACAGAGGCTGGTGCGAGAAGCCAACAATGTGAGTGTCCCATGGTGTGGGGAGAGGAGCTGGGAAGTCCTTCTCTCTGGACCCAGCTTTCTTTCTTTCTTTTTTTTTTTTTAAGATTTTATTTATTTATTTATTAGAAAGACAGCGAGAGAGGGAACACAAGCAGGGGGAGTGGGAAAGGGAGAAGCAGGCCTCCCGCCAAGCAGGGAGCCCGATGCGGGGCTCAATCCCAGGACCCCGGGATCATGACCAGAGCTGAAGGCAGACACCCGACAACCGAGTCACTCAGGCACCCCTGGACCCAGATTTCTTAAGATAATTCAGTGTGCATCTGTTGGTGTCTCTATAAACAGAGCACAAAACAGGGGCACAAAAGTAATTAGAATGGTCTCTGATCTTATTGATCCATAACCTTGATGAGATTATCACCACAAAACAATGTGGACAAGTGCAAAATAATTTAACCCCAACTGAATGGTTTTTGAGTAAAGGCATGCTCATATTCAGGTGAGATTACTTAAGAAGGATTTCTGCTGAGCCCCCTCTCAGCCAAGTGTTGAGGGAATGGCTGAGACCAGGTCACTTAAATGGCTGGATCCATAAAAGACTTGTTGATGCCTCCCCTGTAACTTCATTTTGGGGTCTCCAGGATGCTGTCTGTGAGAGGTTCAGCCTCTTCCCTCAGTTACGAGAAGGTCTTGAGTGAGGACACGGATGATGTGTGTTCACACAGCCTTGTTCCACACTGTGTCCCCAGCACCTCACATGGTCCATGGCATTGGATCGGTGAACGAATGTGGAACGAAGGGGTCATCATCTTTAGTAGGCAAATCCAGGTCACTCCTGGATGTGTTGAGTTCTCGTCTCTCCAAAGAGAGCTTAGGTGGACCCTGTTTGGGAGACTCAGGTGGAGGCCAGAGCTACAACAGAAGCTTCTACTGTGCTTTATGAAGTTGTCCTAATCCGCCAGCTCACCTGTTTCCCCTCCTTCTTTCCAACTCCACACCAATTCTGGTAAATGACTATCCTTCCGACTCAAGTTACCCATCTTACTCTAGATTTGGAGTTTGGGGTCTGTAGTATTAGCGTTCCCCGAAGCCTGAGGTTGCCTTCCATCCTCACTGCTCAGCTCACTGCTGCCTGCACTCTCCCCAATCTGTCTCCAGGGTACTTCTCCAGTTGGAAGTCTTGCTGACACCATGTCCCAGAAACACCTCCAGATCAACCAGACGTTTGAGGAGCTGCGACTGGTCACACAGGACACAGAGAATGAACTGAAGAAGCTTCAGCAGACTCAAGAGTACTTCATCATCCAATATCAGGAGAGCCTGAGGATCCAGGGTGAGGCCCCCATGGCCTGGGCAGTGTGTGTCATGAGGGCTAGAAGGAAATTCAGGTCAGATTGGAAGAGAACGAGGTTTCTGTTCAGAGGCACTTCCTTTTCTCTGGAGTAGCAGGAATTTGCACTAACTTTGGGGCAGGGAGGAGGAGGCTTAGGAAGGGGAGAGGTCACAAGCTTGCCTTTGGGAAATGTGGGTCTCACTCAGGTTCCCCGCACCCAGGGAGCTCCTGGTCTGTTGGGGACGACATTTCCTCCTGTGGGAAGAAGCTCATGGTCTAGGAAAAAACACTTTTGTATGTGATTGGTGTTTCATAAATGCTGCTTTACTGAAATGTTAAATTCTCTATGCAGGCAAAGTATAAGGACCAAGGGCTGTGTTTGTGATGACAGATGTTTAATGTTTCTTGTGTGGTTATTCAGAGCGGTTGTCCTGGCACAGCGCATGCTAATTCACCTCCCTTAGCCCTTATGGACAAACCCCCTTTCCTTGTGTAAATCCTGCAAGGTACTTGGGTACTGAAAACTTCAGCGTGAGGTTATGGAGCCCTGCCAGTGCCCCGTATTGACCTTGTAAGAATTTGACAGGGTGATTTTCTCCCTCCCAGCATGCCCAGCTGAGAATCTCAGAAAAGCCTCTGCTTGATCAGCCGGGTACGCAGACACATACTCACCTGTACACAAGTGCTCCTCTAACACCGTACGGGCTCAGTCTCCTGGCTGTGCGGATATTACTTACTAATAACTCCAGCTTCCTCACTACAATATAAATTCATTGAGAAGGGATTGGGCCTTCTGTCGCTGCACCCTGACGCTGGCACATTGCCAGAATCATAGTAGGTGTTGAGTAAATGTTGGTGGGATGATTCTAGCATGTCTTCCTCTGAATCCATCTTGGACTGACCCCAGAGAAAGGGTGGCCCTCTTCCTAGATTAGGGAACAGGAGAATTTAGGCTGTTAGTTCTTTTTTTTTTTTCTTTTAAGATTTTATATATTTATTTGAGAGCGAGAGAGAATGAGGCAGGGGAGGAGCAGAGGGAGAGGGAAAAGCAGACTCCCCACTGAGCACAGAGCCTGACCCGAGGCTCGATCCCAGGACCCAGAGATCATGACCTGAGCAGAAGTCACACGCTCTCCTCCGGGCTGTCAGTTCTGCCCCAAGCCTTTGATGGTTGATAGTACTTCCAGTCCTGTTCTTGGGTTTTCTGTTTCCGATTTTTGGGTTTGGGTTAGATTCTGCTTTGGGTTTATACCCATCATGCAACGTCAGTTCAGTCTCACTTATCAAGTTCACTCATCGGAAACACAGACTATTGTTCTGTTTGTGCAAGAGAAGGCTCAGCTCCCTCCATGGAGCAGAGAATTGCCCCACACCTCCTGACCTCCCTCCCAGAAGCTTCTGCAAAGTGGCAGGAGAGACCTAAGTGGGTGACTCACATAGGGAGGTTGGGCCCAGGTGGGGGGATCACCGGCAGCCCCCTGTGGGTGGCAGGATTTCTGAGGTGGCCTCAGGACTACTCTGCTGTGTGCCACGGCTGGACGGTAGTCTTCTCTCTCAGTCCCCGGCCGTGGGATCAGAACCTTGTATTTCCAGTTCTCTTCTAGTGCTGGGCTTTCCCTGGCTGTCAGGAGTTGCTTTAGTCTGTCCCAGCTTGTGTGTCCGTGAGGCAGGGCCTCGGTCGGTGTGACATGGCCCTCGACCACGACGGGCTGATGCTCACATCTCCTTGTCTGAGCGCAGGTGAGGCCACTGGGATGTTCAGCAAGGTGATGGGCAGGCCGTCCTAATGCCAGCACGGAGGACAGTGCTTACCTTTGGAGGCAGGGATGGGTTTGCAAGCAGGGAAGGATGTACGGGTGGCCTTCACTGTGGCTTCTTAAGCTGGGTTACTGATAACACAGGCGTTCCTTGCAGCACTCTTTCTACCTTCCCTGGGTCTGAAGTATTTCATAATAGATTTTTTGTAGAACGGTAAGGAGGCCTCCCTGACTCCCTATTCCTGCCGTGGATGAGAGTCCCAGCGCTAGTGTGGCGAGAAGCTGCCTCCCTCTCCCCCGCCTTCTCCGTCTGTCCCTGTCTGTCCCTTGTCTGTGCCTCTCTGTCTCCTTCCGGTTGGTCAGCTGAGCTCACGGTCACCCGACCTGGAGAAACCAACATGTTAGGCCCCCGCCAGCACCTAGAGAAACCCCTTGTTCCAGAGGAGAGGCTGCTGGGCTCCGGGGGTGGGACAGAGCCTGCGGGGCGGGGGCTCCCCTGAGGAGGCCCTGCCATGTGGGGTGGGACTGAGCAGCTGCTGGTCTCTGTCACCCTTTAACCCGCCCCGGAAGCCCCTCCCCAGGAAGGACTAACTCTCACCTAGAGCGCCCGCGTGCCGGGAGGTTCCTTGAGCCTTTTGTGGATCATCACTTCCTTACTCCTCAGCGACCCACTGAGGCAGGGGCCGAGATTCTCCCCTTCTGCACATGGGCAGACTGAGGCCCCAAAGAGTGAAATGATTTGCCCGAGCTCCCCCAGTTAGTACACGGTGAGGGCCCACACGGAACCAGGCAGCGAGGCTCCGCGCTGGACCCCGGTGTGGCGTGGGGAGGTCTGGGCGGGCAGCTGTGCAGACTAAGGTGGGAGGGGAGGCCTCGGGGCAGGATCCTCCTCAGCTATGCCCTCAGGCTTCCATCTGCACACTCCCTGAAGGGGAGATCAAAGTCGAGAGGCCAGGGCCAGAGCCCGCTCACGTCTGGCACCCTTGGCTGCTAGAACCCCAAGTTGCCGTTGGTCAGATGTTGGGCAGCCCCTTGAGGGTCTTGCCTCCAAAACAGGTGTGTGTGTTCCGCTGGGCTTCCGGCAGGGAGCTGGGGGATGATGATCACGGGTGTCCCGTCCCCCCCTCTAGCTCAGTTTGGCGGGCTGGCCCAGCTGAGTCCCCAGGAGCGGCTGAGCCGGGAGACGGCCCTCCAGCAGAAGCAGGTGTCCCTGGAGGCCTGGCTGCAGCGCGAGGCCCAGACACTGCAGCAGTACCGCGTGGTAAGGGGCATCTGCGTCCTCCCCTCCCATGCTCGGAGGCCCACATCCCGAGCCGTCCGGGGTGCCCGAGAGAGGGCTAGGGCCAGGGAGAGAGCGGGCCCCAGGAGAGCTGGAGGCCAGATCCCTCTTTCCTGTGGGGGGCACATGAGGCAATGCAGGTTTGGGAGAGGGGAGGTCCTGTGCCCGGGGCCTGGTCTCCAGCCAGCCCTGCCTCCCGAGTGAGGGCTGTTCTCTGGGAGCCCAGAAGGGCCTGCTCTCCCCGCCTGCCTTCAGGAGCTGGCCGAGAAGCACCAGAAGACCCTGCAGCTGCTGCGGAAGCAGCAGACCATCATTCTGGACGACGAGCTGATCCAGTGGAAGCGGCGGCAGCAGCTGGCCGGGAACGGAGGGCCCCCCGAGGGCAGCCTGGACGTGCTGCAGTCCTGGTAATGGTGTATGGGGGGCGGCCTGGGGGGGCAGGAGCGCCGCCACCAGCTGCTCCCGCCGCCGCCCGCGTTTCCCCGTGCAGCCGGCTCACGCTGGCCCGTAGCGAGGGTTCCTTCACCGGGGCTTCTGGCTCCGGAGGCCGACCTGGGGGCCCCCGTCGTGTGCCACCTGCCCAGGAAGGGAGTCCCTGTGCTGGGGAGGGGGCAGGGCTGGGTGTGCAGAGCGACCCTCAGGCGGAGTGGAGCCGGGTCAGGGGTGCTGCCCCGCGCCCCCGTGTTCCTGCCGGGCGGGGCGCTCTGCTCTGCTCCGTGGGCAGGAGCGGCGGCTCAGGTGCAGAGCCTTCCAGGGTGAGGGTGGAGCTGGGTCTGGGGGCGTTCTCCCCAGACTGGAGCCCCTCGGCCTCGAGCCTGGGGGACGGGGTGACGCCGTTGTCCTCCCGGTGGCCTGGGCCTCCCGTGCAGGTGTGAGAAGTTGGCCGAGATCATCTGGCAGAACCGGCAGCAGATCCGCAGGGCTGAGCACCTCTGTCAGCAGCTGCCCATCCCCGGCCCAGTGGAGGAGATGCTGGCTGAGGTCAATGCCACCATCACAGACATCATCTCAGCCCTGGTGACCAGGTGCCTGCTGCCTCCGGCCACGCCCGGCCCCCGGGTGGTTGGCATGGGGGGAGGCAGGGGTGCTTTGCCCACCGGGGTTGCCGCGGGCGGGGGTGGGGGCTCTCGTTGGAGTCCTTGTCTCCTTTGTCTCGGGCCCCCATCCCCCTCTGTCCTCGGTGGCAACGGCTGCTTGGTGTTGACCTTGCCCAGTGTGTGTTGTGGGCGCTCCGCGGACTGCCCTTGTCCCCCCGCAGCCTGTGCCGGCTGCCCAGTCATGTCACTGCCTCCCCTCCCACCACCTCCTCTGACTCTCGGTGGCCTCCCTGGGCACAGGAGCTGTGCCGTGCGCCCTTCCTTTGCCTGCTGAGCCCCAGTGGCCTCCCCACGTGGGAGGGGAGGCCTGAGCCGGCATCATGTGTGGTCTGGTCACTTGTGTCCCCGCAGCACATTCATCATTGAGAAGCAGCCCCCTCAGGTCCTGAAGACCCAGACCAAGTTTGCAGCGACGGTGCGCCTGCTGGTGGGCGGGAAGCTGAACGTGCACATGAACCCCCCCCAGGTGAAGGCCACCATCATCAGCGAGCAGCAGGCCAAGTCGCTGCTCAAGAACGAGAACACCCGCAAGTACGTGGGCCCCTGTCCCTCATGTCTGCCTCTTTCCTCCAGTCCTTAGAACAGGATCAAAATGCTCCAGCCTCCTATGCAGCACTCTGGATGCTGCTATTCATTGTAGGAGCCCCATTAGACCTTCTGGCCTCTTCTGGATCTCAGAGAAAGAATGTGAGGCCTTCTGTGGAAAAAGTACATGATTTCGTCCATTTAGTAGGAATACATCCAAGAAAATTTCTTTTATTTAATGTATGTGTATATCCTGTATATTTTATGCAGCTAACATTTCCTCTAAATGACATCCATTTTTACAACCTTCTTTAATGGGTCCCCCCCCAATATATTTTCTGCCCCACATTTACTGAGACACCGCGTGGGTCTAGGGTCGAGTCTCTCTCTGCTCTGCAGTGACTACAGTGGCGAGATCCTGAACAACTGCTGTGTGATGGAGTATCACCAGGCCACCGGCACCCTCAGCGCGCACTTCCGGAACATGGTGAGGATGGGAGAAGAAAAGAACAAATCTTCCCTCATTGTTTGAGGGTTCTAACCCCTTTATTTGTCTCCTTTGCAGTCCCTGAAACGAATTAAGAGGTCAGACCGTCGTGGAGCAGAGTCAGTGACAGAAGAAAAATTTACAATCCTGTTTGAATCACAGTTCAGTGTTGGTGGAAATGAGCTGGTTTTTCAAGTCAAGGTAAAGCCCTCCCTCAGCTGTGGGATGTGTGTGTGTGTGTGTGTGTGTGTGTGTGCACGCGCTTTGTATCACAAAAGAATTGTTTTGATCACAGTGTCTTAACTGTCAGTGGACAGAAAGTGGGAGACCTCATCCTTAAAACTGTGTGTCTTAGATTCTCTTAAGATCTTTAATAACAAGCAGTCGCAAATTGAAATAGCTGGAGATACAGGTAGGAACGAATCAAGGAAACATCACTCTGGATGAATTGAAGAACAGTTGTACTAAGTTTAAGACATTTGTTACTTGCTATTTTTTCCTAGAAATATCTCCATACTCTTTCTCTTTTCTCTCTTGTTCTCCATTTGAGAAACTTACTGCATCCTTCAGAAATATCTAAGCAACATCTCTTAAAATATCTAAAATTTCTAAGATTGCACCACTGTGAAGAGTCCCATGATTCCTGGAGCCATTCAGATTTTACTGAAACTTGAAGAGAAAATGAGTGTGTTGTGATAAGAGCAAGAGAGGAACGTGTCACTCTTGGCGCTCAGCCCTTCTCTTTTGTCTTTCTAGACCCTGTCCCTCCCGGTGGTGGTGATCGTCCATGGTAGCCAGGACAACAATGCGACGGCCACCGTTCTCTGGGACAATGCTTTTGCAGAGCCTGTGAGTGGACTCCCTGGGCCTGTGGGTCTCAAGATTCTAATGCTGGTGTCATGAATCTCTTTCATGTGTTCTCCCCGAGAAAAGCATAGAAAAGTGTACTTTTTGGGAGGCAGAGTAGAGAGCATGTGGAGAATGGAAAGAACGTGGGCTTGGAGTCCGGCCAAGGGTTAAACTCACGCCCCGCCATTTCCTCAACGTTGTGACCACGGGAACTTCACTTTCTCTCTTTGAGCCTAAGTTTCCCTAAGTGTCTACACCACAGGGATAATAGTGCTCCTTAGCGCTGTTAGAAAGATGAAATTAGGTAACATTCAGGGACACCTGGCTGGCACAGTCAGTAGAGCATGCAAGTCTTGATCTCGGGATCATAAATTCAGGTCCCATTTTGGGCGTAGAGTTTACTTAAAAAAATAATAAATGAAATTAGGTAACATACAAAATACCAAATGCTTGTCACCTGGTCAATACTTAGTGAATATTCTTTTGAATTCTTGGGTCAGACCATGAATGGAATTTGGAACTCCAGAAGGTAGACCTCTCATGACGTTGCTTATAGTTTAGCAGTTGCTTCCTGCCATCTTCCCTCCAATAATCGAGGGTGCCATTTAATGTCTTATCCAAATTTTAGGTTCTGTGATTCATGCCAACTCTCACGAAGAATGAGATGCTTTGTCTAAGGGAATGAATGTGATTTTGTGGATTTATGCATCAAATACTATCTGAATACCACTAGTGTGCACTTGATGAGCATTTTCAAAACATTTCATCGGGAAGAGTTCTAGGTATTACACATTTCCAGGAGCGAGTGCTCCATGAAAGCCTGATAAAAGGTTATGTGGTTGATATTCAGGGTGTAAAAGTATGTCCTCTCACATGACTCTAATGTGAAGAGTCTCACTGAGTTCTCTCAACAGTCCTCTTTACAGAACAATATTTTTGCTGCAAAGGTGAGATTTATAGCACAAATTCTCCCGTGCCCATTCTACAGAGCCTGAGTTTGAGGCTTCTCTTAAAACTGTCTGCCTGCAGCATGCCCTGATAAGCCTCCTGGATAGGATTGCCACCTCTCCTCTCATTCCGCTCCCTGCCTGTCCGCCGAGCTCATTCCTCATGTCACGTTGGCAGCTCTTGCAACATGTCGTTGCTAAATAAATTGCCTAAATTTAGGCAATGCCTAAATAAATAAGCATTTTTAGCATTTTCAGTTGTGTTCATGACTAGTGTACATCTTAATGCTCTTTTAAAATAAGTACTTGTGGGGATTTATTCTACAGATATATTTCCATAAGTGTCAAATGACATGAGTACGTTGCAGCATTGTTTGTAATAACTAAAGATCACTAGGCTGATACACAGATGTCTGTCTATGGGGGCCTGGCTAACTATAGTATTGTTTTTCCATATTGTGGAATATTTAGCAGCCACAAAAGAACATGTGTTTATGTGCTGATGTAAGGTCTTGCAGATATTAAGTGAAAAAAGGGAGAGGTAGGACATGTGGATTTTATGCTACCATACATATATATATATCATGACCTGAGCCAAAAATCAAGAGTCAGGTGCTTAACCGAGAGAGCCACCCAGGTGCCCCTATTTATATTTTTAAACAGGAAAAGTTATATATATTTCCTGGCATGCATAGATATCTTCGGAGGCATACACAGTAAACTAGATTATATGCTCAGGGCAGAGGAACCGGGCTGCTGGGACGAAGGGTTAAGAAAGCAACTTCATAGGGCGCCTGGGTGGCTCAGCCCGTTAAGCATCTGCCTTAGGCTCAGGTCATGATCCCAGGGTCTTGGGATCGAGCCCCACATCTGGCTCCCTGCTCAGCGGGGAGTCTGCTTCTCCTTTTCCCTCTGCTGCTCTCTCTCTCAAAATCTTAAAAGAAAAGACACTTCACTATATACGCTTCCGTGCTTTTAAATTTTATATTATGTGAAGCAATTGCCTATTCTAAAAATAATTTTTGTAATAATGAAAAAATAGAATGAAGTACCGTGGCTGAATGGGATGAAAAACAGTTTATTAAAAATTCATATTGTAACCTGTTTCTCAATAACAAGGGGTCCAATTCAGTTTCCATTCTTCCACATGAGATTTTTTTCACATTGAGCTGGAGTTCAAGGATCACACTTAATGCACACACATGCATGAGTGCGCACACAATTCTCTCTGCCTGCAGCTAGAGACTCAGTCTTTCAGATTCCCATTCCCCTGAGCTTACAGTGTAAGAGCCAGACCTAGGTCACGTTTTGTTTCTATGGCTCTTAGAATGTAGGATTAGACTGGAGATTCAGCAGTTCATTTACAGAACACCATCGATAGCGCGAGGGTACCTTCTAAGTTGTGTGTGAAGAAGGTAAAATGGAACCTTCTCAATCTCACTGAGCTGCCTATGTCAAAAAAGTTAAAATTTATCCTCAGGCTCAGCAAGACAAATGTTTGTAACTGCATTGAGCCATCAGTGGAGTTTTCATTTTGTGGGTTGAGTGAATAAATCATGCAACTGTTTTCTCATAAGATTCTGGCTTCTCTCCGTCTCAGGGCAGGGTGCCCTTCGCCGTGCCCGACAAAGTGCTGTGGCCGCAGCTGTGTGAGGCGCTCAACATGAAATTCAAGGCCGAAGTGCAGAGCAACCGGGGCCTGACCAAGGAGAACCTCGTGTTCCTGGCTCAGAAGCTGTTCAACAACAGCAGTGGCCACCTTGAAGACTATAATGGCATGTCCGTGTCCTGGTCCCAGTTCAACAGGGTGAGGGACCCACCGCCAGCTGCCCTTAGCTCAGTCCCTCCAAACGGGATGCCTTCCAGAGACTTCCTGCCCTGGGCATTTGTTCTTCATGACTCTAATAAAATGTGCCCAAAGTAATAGAAAGCTCCTGAATAAATGGATAGGCACATACTTCTTATGTAGAAAATTAGGTCTTTGAATATTTAAGTGAACTGGGCTTTTTGTGCAACTAGTGCATTTTTTTTCCTTTATAAAGGAAACAGAGCAAAGCAAATGATAACCTATCTCACAAGAAGTAAAGCTTTTGTGATCAGAAGTCCATGGCTCTTTCCCATGGACTCTCTGATGCTCCCTGCTGTGTAATCCTGCAAGGCCAGGCTACCATGGGACCCTCAGCCCACAAAAGGGAATGCTGATGGAGGAAACCTCTCCTCCAGCATCGGGTAATTGAGATGTCACCCCGTCACATCTTTGACTTTAAACCCAACTTTGTTTCTTTGCGTACACCTCCATCCCCAGGTGTTTTAAATGCCCTAATTCAAAAACAGCAAAGAAGGAGTCAGCCCAGATCAAGGTGAATGTGTTTGTAGCAGGGGTTGCTGGGTATTGGCAATTGCTCTGTTGTATTTTTCCCCTCTTCTCTCTTCCTCTGGACCATTTGGTAAAACTCGGACAAACATGTATATTTGTATGATTCTGACAGTGTAGATGTTTGTTTTCCATTTAATTTTTTTTCAGTTTAAGTATATGCAGGCAATATTCTAGGTGTTACTCTGGGCCTTCTTGTGTTCACTGTTCTATCTCCAACCAGGAGAATTTACCAGGACGAAATTACACGTTCTGGCAGTGGTTCGATGGTGTGATGGAAGTGTTAAAAAAACATCTCAAGCCTCATTGGAATGATGGGTGAGAATTGTCATTTCCTAAGTCAGCAATAGAGTTTGAAGCTCTTTTTTCCACTGTTAAGACATCACATCTGTTTCTCCTCCTTTGGCCTTTTTGATCCAGGGCTATTTTGGGTTTCGTGAACAAGCAACAGGCCCATGACCTACTCATTAACAAGCCTGATGGGACCTTCCTGCTGAGATTCAGCGACTCTGAAATTGGCGGCATCACCATTGCTTGGAAGTTTGATTCTCGTAAGTTCCCTCCCTTTTTAGAACATATTTTGGGGTGCCTGGGTGGTTCAGATGGTTAAGCGTTTGCCTTTGACTCAGGTCATGATCTCTGGGTCCTGGGATCGAGCTCTGCATCAGGCTCCTGGCTCAGCGGGGAGTCTGCTTCCTCTCCCTCTGCGCACCCCCTCCCTGTCTCAAATGAATAAATAAAAAATCTTTATGTATATATATTGGTTATAGTTAGCTGCTTTTGTTGTAAAATTGCTTCAACAAATGACTTTTTTTTTTTTTAAAGATTTTATTTATTTATTTGAGAGAGAGAGAATGAGAGCACGAGAGGGAAGAGGGTCAGAGGGAGAAGCAGACTCCCTGCTGAGCAGGGAGCCTGATGTGGGACTTGATCCCGGGACTCCAGGATCATGACCTGAGCCGAAGGCAGTCGCTTAACCAACTGAGCCACCCAGGCGCCCTCAACAAATGACTTACTGAGCACTTATGGGGTCAGTTCTGATGAAGGGCACACAAATGGATCACCATGATGCAGCTGGGGCTGATAAGGCAGCCTGTGTAAAATCATATCATGGGAAACACAGTCACTAATTCTGAGAAACAAACATGTGTAACCCTGAAGTGGCTATCATATAGCATTCTGTCCACAATCTCAGCTGCTTCCCTTTTGAAATGTCCACCTTCTTATTACTGAACTGTGAGCTTATTTCAGTGAAGAATTACTTGGATGAGTAGGGGGTCATTAGACTGGAAGTAATATGCTATTTTAATTATTCTTTATCCTAATCAACGTAAAGGCATGGCCACTGATTATTTCCACCCAAGAACAGTTCTTTCCTCCGATCCTCACAATAAGATAAGAGTAGCTTGCTAGTTTTTTTGCAACTTAAAGATACTAACAGCTTTTCATAGCTCTCACGCATCCTCTGTGTGACATGGACGTGCTTCCTGGCTCTCTCATATACTTTTGTACGGGGATCAAGGATTGGGGTCAATAGAACTATTTCTTCTACAGAGGGACTAAAAACTATTTGAACTTGAAACTACCTGAGATCATTGGATCTCTAGGGAAGTGCTATATGCATTACCTGCTTATCTCCCCATGGCTTTTATAAACGACTTGAGCTACAACCTGTGGTAATTTGGTCATTTTTTTTTT